CCCTTCCCCGGCCCGCCAAAACAGCAAAAAAACAAACACGCCCCTGGCCAAAAAAGGACGCGACATGACGCGACCCCTCTCCGGCCTTGTTCTGGCTGGTACGTGTTTTGTTTTTGCTGTTTGTATGATGAACCTACAGGGGCTTGAAATTGGCAGGGACTATGCAGGGCTTGTAAAGTTTTTGGGGTGTGGGAGTCCGCGATAGGCTTTGATGCGAGATCTATATGGTGATTGCACGATAGTGCCCTCATAATTGAATCCGGGACCCGCAATTGTCATGAACGGTGTATTAGGGAAAGGGAGTCAATCCTTTGTGTGGCTTATGTACGGTTTGCAAACTCAAGCCCAGAGAAGGAGATGGTCCCCTGCAACATGCTGCGGGTTGTCTAAAACGAGATGGAACGAGTTTGCAGAACGAGTTTGGAATTTTTGACTATGGACCAGACAAGAACTTTTGACGGATGCTCATGTTTCTTTGCAGGCATTAGTATGAGCTTCAGAAACCTCTGGTAGCCCTCATGATCGCTGTATTGGTCCCTCTGCAGAGAATTGGCATGTGCTTGGGCACTGGAATGCCCCATAAGGCCTTGGTTTATGTGGGTGTCTGCGCTGCTATTATTTCTTCTTGGCTGTCTGATCTTACCCACATGCTTGGGAGCGCTGATCTACAAATTGATTACTGGTGCAACTTGACTTCCTTGGCCAGTGCTTGGCATGCGTGGTAGCTTCATTTGATCAACACTCATGGCAGCAGAATTGTTTTGCTATCTTGCTGTCTTGTCATCGTCTGAGGCATCCTGAGAGCAGATCTGTACAGAGGTTTCTCAGGACAGCAGGCGGTGACTCAAAGTCTTGTGCGGCAATGCGAGACAACATGCGTCCACTGTCAACTGGTTGATGCCGCACGTGACATCACCTGCAACAGCTGCATGCTGTTGTCGCAAAAAGGTTGATACTGTCTCAGGCCTGATCACCGCTACGTCATCTGCTGCGCTGTTTTCACGCCAATGCATAGGCTGGAATCTCAGACACATGACAGGCGGTGGGAAATTTAACAGATGCACCTGGCAAGCCACCAGCCCTTGCATGTTGCTTTTTGCTTGCAAAAGGCTAAGGCTACTTTGATTCTCTCTGTTCAGTCCTCATTGCTACAACTTGGTGATTCTTCCATGCAACAAGTAAACTGGGTCGACCTGCGCCGAACGTTGGTACAAGTAATGGACAGGAATAATGTTAGATACAGGTTGCCAGCTTTGGAGCCAATCATCGTGATGGCAGATGCCATTCTTCCCAGCTGATTGGCGCATGGTGTGCTCGCTGGCTCGAGTTTCTTCAGTCCCACATAGAATCCGAAGTACCCCAAGGAATCGCATCTACCCAGCAGCAGGGCCTGGCGCAAAGGTTGAGCTGATCAAGCAAAAAGCAAGAGACTGTGGGGGTAAACTTGCCTTGCGCTAGCACCACCAACACGTGGATACAGGTCTCAAACTGCGACAATGGTCGGAAACTCTTGCTTGTTAGCTTCCACGGTGCAGTTGTTGATCGCTGGTCCATATAGGCTTCTGGTCTCCTGCTCTTGCGCCTAAGAAAGTATCATTTTGCTTTCGTTTCTTGTCGCTTTGCAAATAAATCCTGCGGCATTCAGGATTCTTTGTTGGTTGGGAGGTTACAGCGACATTTGTTTGCGTTCCTCGGGAGTGTTTGATGTGCCAGCCCTGACACATTCAGGTGCACGACGTCGTGCCCGTAAGGCAATCAGGTTTGGGGGGTGTGTACGCGCTGGCACCAGTCCGAACAACGATTTTTTTTGCGCAGTCTGCAGTGCCAGTCTTGCTTGCTTGCACCCAATCTTCAAAAATCGGGGCCAATGGGACAAGTCCAGATTAAATCAAAACGGGACGATTCCACAACTCATAGAGCGCCAAGCAGGTGAAAGATATCTTCAGAAAACAGCCGAGGAGACTGCAAGAAAATTGCGCCATGACCCCATGCTCATAGTATGTTATAGTGTGAAACGGAAGTATCAATCCCTGCGAACCTGGAATGGAAATGTAAGCAGACAAGCGAAGGATGTCACTATGTGCTGTCTACATGGTATCCGCAAGCCTTCCAAACCCTGGTTGTTGCTTAAATCCTTGGTGTGACGGACCGCAAGTGCATCTGCGGCAAATCTGCAGTTGAGCCTAAATCCTGAATCAGCAGCCTTTCCTCCCATCCATCTGGACGAGGACTGGAGAGCGAAGGGCGGTTAGCTGATGTCAGTAGCCAGTGATGAAGAGTGCATGAATCTCTGCCCTGCGCTTGCCAGCTTGATTCATTTCTTTCGGGGCCATCCGTTCCGCACCACGACTTCCCCCAAGCCATTTTGGCCAGCATGCCCTTGTTGCTACAATATGGACATGGGTACAGGTAATCGTGAGCAAAGAAGCGGTCGAGAAACAGCAAATCATATGTAAGGTAGCTGCATTGAAAAAAGGGTGTTTGTCAGACAAGTGAATCCACGGGTGCCTTCGGGGACGAGACAAGGCGCACAGTTTCCGCTCCCCGGCTTCATATTTTCATGCCATGGCAGAGCCGGGCAAAGTCCGGTCGTGCACCTCTCGGCCGACCAGTGCCAGTGCTTCCACCCGACCGACGAGCGCTGGAAGCGGGCGAGAAGGGTCCCCAGGTCGACCTTCACTGGCCTTGAGCCAACGTCCAACAAGTGCTGGTAGTGCACAAGATTCTGCGGGTAGGCCATCCATGACATCTCTGTATCGGCCAACTAGCGCAAGCAGCGCGGGGACTCACCCCGCACGAGAAGAGTCTGCGTACGCGTACGCTGAAGGGAGCAGGCCAGGGAGTGCCAAAAGCCAGCCCGCATGCAGGGCTTCGCTCGAAGGCCCAGAAGGCTCTACAGCTGCGCAGGCTGCACAGGCTGCACACGTTCCAGCTCGAGGCGAGTCTCCAACAAGAGGCGGTCGGCTTTTGGGCCCGCATTCGCTGGAGAGCACAGTCACGCAAGGTGCTGACTATGGCCGTCGTGCGCTTGAAGAAGAGCTGCAGCAGCCAGTCCTGACGCCAATACCCAATTCGATTGCAACTTCCTTGGAAAAGCAACTAGGAACCGCAATAGGCTTAAAGGGCAGAAATCGCCTGGTTCCTCGTTTACCGCGGGACGTGGTACATTGCCTCCATGGACAGAGTTGTTGCTGGCGTTGGCTGGCCAGAGCAGCCATGGAAGAGGCGTCTGGAAGCAGCTTTGCCAGCATGAGCCTTGCAGACAGCATCGCGATGATCAAGCAGGAGTCTGGCTCAAATTGGGCTTCTCTGAGATTTGCATTCGAGGTGGGTGATGTCCTTTGCTAACCTGTGTTTTGGTGACGTGGACCAGAATCCCAACCTCTGAAAGGAAATCAAATCCCGAACTTGGCACACTTCTAAATTCAAAATCAAAATGTAACGAGTTGGAGCTGCTCATGTTGGTCAAATTGCAGTGCTCCCAAGAATGGCATGGTCTCTCTGCTTTTTTCTCTTTTTGTTTTGTGATTTTTTTCGGCTTTGTGACCAGATGATGATGAGCAGCATGTTTGTTCTTGTTTCCGGTGTCCTGCTTATGCCTTCTCGGCGATGTAAGATTTAGGGCTGGCCACCGAAATTTGCACGGGACTGTGCACTCGAAAGTTTCGCAGACCGGGATGGTTTCGCGGAAGCTGCTCCTAAAACAGAGTGCCGAGCACAGCCTGTTCTATGAGATGCATGCAGCATGAGGAATCTAGGCAGCAGACATGTTCTGCGCGTGGAGACATGGTCACATGATGATCGTCTTCGAGAAGTGGCGGGAAACTTGCAGAAGTTACGCGAAAGGCTGAATCGAAGGCCCTTTCGAAGTCATGCCCATGTCACATGCTCTACAGGCTCGAGCAACGGCCAAAGACGAGCGCGGGCATTCTTTGAGTAGCTTGATATATTCCCGCAAAAGGCTCTCCATGAAATGGTAAATTCTGTTACTCTCGTGGAGCGAGTGCAGGAGTGGAACATACTTTGCGGAAGCAACATTTTTTGCGGAAGGCTCCTGGAAGCCGGGTTGCGGAAAATTCCAACAATTTAAGGACGCTCTAGGCCGCGGAAGGATACGGAAGAGTTCGCAGGGTTTCGCGGAAGGGTGTGTTACGTCACAGGGATTTGAATAGGTGTAGAAACCACCGCTCAGATGCTGGGTGTTTCCAAAGTTAGGGGAAATGGAAAGGCTTGTTCGGTCGAGGAACGTCCAGATGTTGGTACTTTCCAGGAGCTCCTGCAGCTCAGGGAGGAACATGCCATCAAAGAAGCAGAGCGGGGCCGTGCTGAGGCACGTTGTCAGCAAGCCCGAACTCTCGTTTTGATGCGGAAGTGATGTGTGCAATCTCCAAGTCCTGGTTTACATTAACATCATCACTGGCTGTATCAATCTAAGCTGCTGGATGTGCACGGCTCCGATGCGGAGGAAATGTCGCATAAGATAGCATTTTGTTGGCCAGTGCCTTGTGACAGGCAGCCGAAGAGAACCTGGCTTCTTTGAAGGCACAGCTGGCAGCGACAAAAGTGGACCACAAAGAGTTCAGGCCGGCCTTTTCGCGCCCGTCAGTAGGCTTCACATGACCATGATGGCGGGCATTTGGCTAGCTTTGACCAGGGCCCTTGAGCGAGCTCAAGGGCAGTTGCAAGAAGAAGCTGCATCCTTGCGAATATCTGCCGGCTTTGGGCTCAGAGCCCGTCTTCGCATGATAAGCTTTCATGCTGCTAAGCTGCCCAGGTAGTCTTTCAGCTCAGCTGGAAGTCCAGAAAAAGGAGGCTGCCCGAGAACTGGCAGCCGTGCGCGGCAAGGCCCGCGTAACAAGATTAGTCACGCCTGATGCTTGAAAAGATTGAAAGCACGGCACCAAGGCCGATGCAGAAGTGTCAGCTTTGCGACTCAGAGCTGAAAAGGCAGAGACCGAGCTGGCCAAAGTACAGGCCCAGAAGTTGAATTCTTTTAGCATGATGGTGGCTGCTGTTTTGAATGCCATCATGCAGCATGAGGTAGCGGAAAGTGAGCTCCGTCAGAGAGTGGCAGAGCTGATCGAGGGAAGGCAGGGGATGTTTTACATGGCGCAGCACCTAACCGGGACCGAGCCCATCCTAGCCCTCAACTTGAACCCACATTCCCTTGATCTATCTGCCACCCAGGGATGCGGCAGAGAGAAAGAAGCTGTCACCGTTGGGGCCTCGCCGCTTTAAGAGTTCACGACGAAACCGATGCTCGGCATGGCGAACGCCACTCTCAAAACAATGTACATGTTCTCTTGTTTATGAGGAATGAGTACAGTAAGCTGGTTGGGATGCTGTTTGAACTTCGATAAGCCGCGGAGCGCAGGGGAATCGAATGAACCGCAGGCGAGGGCCAGGAGACGGCTAGGCCCGGCCAGTCTTGGAGATTGTTGAGCGCTAGATTGATCATATCTTGAAGGGATGCCTTCTATGATTAGAAGGGAGCAGCATAACCAGCTCTGTGGTAGACGCTTTCCGCAAATGCAATTATTCGAATGGGAAGGCGCTTTGGCCAATGTTATGCTTGAGACATGAGGCGGCAGGCACAGGGAACCACATTTTCAACCATTCCGAGAACAGGCACTTCGACAAGCGCCCACATTCACCTGACAGCCAAGGAAAGAGCAGCAATAAGAAAGAAGCTTCGCGCTCGAAAACGCGTGGCCCGCGGGGGCGACGGACTTGAGCGAACCAGCTCAGCTGGACAAGCAAAGCTGGAGACGTAAGAAATGTTTCTGTGCAGCTGCAGTAGCCAGCTGCCATGGAGATGCTGAAAAGCAATGTCAGGCGTCTCCATGGCTGCATCTAGGCATGCACTTCCATCTCACAAAGGTCCTGCAAAGCAGGCCCTAGCCAGGTGAAGATTGAGAGCTGAATCCAAGCACCCAAGCTTCAGTTCCTCAGTAGTCGGCAAGGCCACAAGTGCGGATCTACTCAGGCAGGCAATGCCATGAAAGGCTGGAGCCGAGAAGGTTGGCTAGTACCGGTAAGAAGCTGGCCCTCCACTGGCTTGTGGCTAGAACATGCTAGAACCATCCTTTCCCAGCCTTGAGGCCCGGTCCTCCTGGAAAACGCCCCTTACACCTCACACAGTCTAACATATCACTTCTTGCTATGGCCGGAAAATGGCCAAGAGTTGAAGACTGGCATTCGTTCGAATGGGCATATCACCTGAGCTCCACGACAAGGGGAGGATGAAACCCAAACTGGAGTGAAGATAGTGACGATGAGTGAGGCTGAATGGCTAAATCTGGCTGGAGACCAAACTGGAGTGAGGACTGAAGTGGTTTGGAAACTACAAGCCTGGATTAAGTCAGTCTGGGTACAAGCTAGACTGAGGATGACACCATTTTTGGTGCTCAGATGTTTTGTTTGCATCAAGGTGCAGTACTCGTACTGTAACGGAGCGCCTTTGGCGGAAGTCGCCTCACATGACGCAGTGACGCAGTAGAATCATCAGACAGCTTCGGCCAGTAAGGCCGCTCCTCGCTCATGGTGTCTCCAGCAAACGGGCGCAGGACTGATTGTTTCCAGTGGAATACTTCCCACCCTGCTGCAGCGTGTGCACATTGACCCACTTTTGTGCACGCTTCCATGCAAGACATGGACATCAGAGAGAATGCGTGGCCGACTCAGCGTGCACTGGCAAAGTTCGGCCGCGAGTTTGCTAGTCTTTCTTGCAAATCGTAACTTTATGTGGCAACGCGACAGGTGGGTTTACTCTGTCATCATCGCGCCTTATGACGAAGCAGCGGTGGAGAACATGAAGAGCGCGCCAGTGGCAAATGGTATCAGGCTTCATGGGTTAGCTGCAGAAAGCTGATCGGTGCTGTTCAATGAGTTTTGTGGGCCCAACAGGGCACGGCAGGCAGGTAAAAGCAGTTGTATTCTGGAGCGGCCCCTCAACCGCACATCCGATCAGAGATGGTACCTACCAGGCTTCCCAGACTTGACACAACCTCTCATGCTCTAGACTTCCTATGCAGGCGCTCGGACTTCAAGCTTGTACTCTGACGCTCCAAGAAGCGTAGTGTAAAGCTGATTTGGAATACCACGTGCACAAATTCCTGCAGTCTGCTTGGAGGTAAAGGATGAAGATTCACATGCTTCCATCTGTCTCCTTGCCTCTTTTCTACAGCAAAAGCCAAATAGCGTTCTCACTACTGCGCAATGAAGAGCTCCTTCACGCAGACTGAAGTGGTCTTGCACTTTACACCAGTATGTGCATTTTTACAGTCGCCGCGTGATGTTGTCCAGTCAGCACGGTGCCTTCTCGGCTGTTGCTAAGTTCCCACTCTGAGAGCAGAGCTTCTCCCAATGAGTCATCGGGCCTGAAAGAGGAATCCTCCGGAAACCTGACAGCCAAAAAGAAAGCTGTGTTGCTGTTGAATTTCCGGGACCAGTGGCGCAGCAACACCGCCTGTGAGCGTATGATGCACAGGGACGGCCCAGGTCCTAGTTAAAACTTATCTAAATTCAAGAGGAAT